ACATCTCCTTTCACCCACCCCTCTGTTGTCCGTCCCCCAAAGAGGAGGTTATATGTAGATCCTTGTAATCGGTTCCCTCTTTCTACCTACCTTCCCTCCACCCTCCCGGTATGGCCACTCTCACCACTGGTCCTGAAGGGATCATCCATCCTAGATTCCCTGTGTTTCCAGTTCCTATCTGTACTAGTGTACATGCCCTCGTCTAGCCGGATTTGTAAGGTAGAATTGGGATCATAATAGTGGGTGGGAGGAAGCAAATAAGAACTAAAGGAAAATTGTATGTTTCATCGTTGCTGCACTGCACCCTGACTGGCTCATCTCCTCTTGGCGACCCTTCTGTAAGGGAATGTCCAGTTCAATACTACTTTTTTAAAAATTGGACCTTAAAAAAAAGTTCTAATTTAAATTTAATCCTCAGATTTTCCTTCTAGATAAAGGAAAAAGTATAGTAAAAGTTGATAACAATTGCTGTAGAGTTCTTGATGTTAAATACTTTAAAAATAAATAGCCCTACTTAGCAGCAATAATAAAAGTCTTCATCCTTTCCTGTTTCTGGAAAAGTAAAATTTGCTTTTATAATTGGCCTTTTAAAAATGAGTATATCATTGGTTTTAAAATTGGGAAAGATTAATTTTTTTCTTAAAACTTACTTGCTTTTCTTGTAAATTAGCACATTTCTAGCTATTTGCTTTAGGCTTCTAGAAATTTAATATTTACTATCTAGTATCTGGGAAATGAAAATTCTATATTAAAATTTGTCCTACTCTGTTAACTTTAGGCTCCAATACTGTGAGAACAGCCTGTAGAGATAATATTTAAGTGTGATGATTATTATTCATTCAATTTTCTGTTCAGGAGATATCCTTGTTAGAAAAGGTAAACTCCTAGGTACTTAATACTTGCTTTGATCATCATTAGTCTGGTTTTTAAATTATAATTTATGCCTCATTTAGATTACTGTAAATAGTAATGCAATACAAAGTTGAGATTTCATGATACTGTACACTACTTAGTTTACTTGTTTCTTTATTTAGGGTCCAAAAGGTGAAGCAGTTGGATCCATAACTCAGCCCTTACCTAGCAGTTACTTGATCATCCGAGCTACTTCAGAGTCAGATGGTAAATATGGTTTTTGATGGATTGATTTTGTTCCTATTTTTAAGTTGTTAAAAATATATTTTTAAGTTTCCTAAAGTTTTTAAGTGTTACATTATCCTTTGAGAATGTTTGTTGTTGTTGTTTTACTATGGCATTTGTAGCAGATGCATCTTAATCATAAATCATTTAATTGGCAGGAGTTAGCAGCATAGAATTTTCATCTCTATCTTCTGCTGTTAACAGATCTATAATTGGTTAATGTCCTTTCTGGTTATTTAATTATGTTTTGTCATTTAAAGCAATATTTAATATTGCTTATGTTCTATAATTAACAGTTATGAGGCTCTCAGACCCTGTTTTTGGTGGTGGTTCTTGTCTCACAAGAAAAATAATTCAAAAGAAAGAATTTCAAGTCAAATTAATTTATTGCAGACCTAATAATTTAGTACTTAATTTATGAGGCAAACAGAACAGCAGCAAAATGTATTTATCTAAAATCTAAAATCCTTAATTAATAATGGATCTCTTCACATTTGTCTCATAGTTTAAACTGCTCTACCCTAGGCAATGTTGTTAACTTTAGAAATGTATTTCTACAGATGATTCTTTTCAGCATAGACAAAAGCTTTTGGTATGGAAATATTTTACTTGATATTTTAGCAAATATATATTAATTTTAAAAGCCACTGACATTTTCCTTGTGAATATAATTCTGATTTTTCACTCAAAAAAAAATCATTGTTTCATTTAACTAATATAACAGTTATTGGCAGTACTGCACAGAGATTTTACTAATAATAAAAATGCTCATACAAAAAAGCTCATATATAGAAAATAGAGTAGATGTTTTAGCCTGCAGATAAATCTCCAACAAACAATTAAATATTATTCCATATAGCTTGTTTGCAGTAGAAACCTACTCCTGTATGTCTTAATGTACTTTTTCCTATTTTCAATTTATCCTGTATTTTAATGTTCTAAGGTTTTTAAAATAAAATACATTTATTTTAGGTTAGGTTGTACGTCCTACTGCATATTATATCTAATAAAACTGAAATCTTAGCAAGTTTACCTTCAATCTGTGTACTGTTAGAGAAAATGAACACTTTGGCTCTTTGTACACCTGTTAATCATTCCAAAAAAAGAGTTTCCCTTTAGACCTTAATATTATATCTCTTTGAGATTTAAATAAACACCTATGTAGAAACATTAAATATTTTAAATATTTTCTACATAGCTGTTTATTTTAAATAAAATGAATTTTCCACTACATGTTTCTTGAAGGTATTTGTTTGTGTTTAAAGTTAACAGTAAGCTAAATTAAGATGAATGCTATTTTTATAATTTTTTAATCATTCTGCTTATTGAATCTGTTGTGCTCTTCTAGGCAGGTGCTGGATGGATGCTTTGGAGTTGGCTTTGAAATGCTCTAGTCTTCTTAAGCGTACAATGATCAGAGAAGGAAAAGAACATGACCTGAGCATTTCATCAGAGAGCACACATGTGACTTTGTATGGCTTATTACGTGCTAACAATCTCCACAGTGGTGACAACTTCCAGTAAGTAGATATTAGCACAAATATGGTAATTACCTCCGAGATTGTGTTATTTACTAGATTCATTGGCAGCCCTCGAATTTTGTAGTATACGAAGGGATACCCCCCAAAAAAAAAAATTTTTTTTCAAAACCAAGGAATTAAATTTTTTTTTTTTTTTTACAAAACAACCCTATTACCTTCAGAGTATACTTAATTACACTTAATTCCTTTGTCAAATCTGCGATTCCATTTTTGGAAACATTTTTCAAACTCATCTGTTTGGAAGGCTTTTGTTTTTTCTTCACCTCTTCTATGTCATCAAATCACTACTGTTTCATGTCCTTCTTTATTCTCAGAAACAAAAAGAAGTCACTTGGAATGAGGTCAGGTGAGTAAAATGAGGCAAGAGAGGCATACTGTTTTTTGACAAGAAACAGCACACTGAAATGGCTGTGTGAACAGGCGCATTGTTGTGGTGGCAGAACCAGTCCCCCATCTGCCACATATCAGGCCTTTTTGTAGCACACTGTCATGCAATCTTTTCAGAACCTCAAAATATTCGAAATAGAAAGCTTGATTAACAGTATAACCTGGTGGAACGAACTCCAAATGCACTATCCCCCCCACATCAAAAAAATAAATGAGCATCGTCGTGATCTTTGATTTCACTCGATGAGCTTTTTGGGGGCAAGGTGATGATGGCATCTTCCACTGACTTGATTGATGTTTGCTTTCGGGGTCATAAGAATAGTGCCATGTCTGGTCACCAGTAATGACTTTGAAAAAAAAAGTCTGGGTTGCTTTGTAGCTGTTCTTTCAAAGCATAGCTTGTTTCCACTCCACCCTTCTCATTACCAAATGTTCTGTTAAAATTTGCTGAACCGAGCTCAGAAATAGTCCAGAAAAACGTCCCCCTCGCTTCAATGGTCTGTTGATGGTCTTCGAACACACATGCATGAATTTTGTCGACATTTTTGCCCATTCAGGATGTTGACAAATGTCCAGGACAATGTTTGTCTTCAGTTGACATATCACCATTTTTGGAACGAGAAAACTGCTCGTACACTTGAGTTTTCCCCATAGAGCTGTCCTTGAAGGTTTGTTCAACATCACACTTTCTGCGACATTTTTCTTGAGCAGGAAACAAAATTTTACAGCCAGTTACATCAGCCATCACAAAAAACAATGTTCAAGCAAAATCGCTTTTATGAAAAAATTCACTGTGACCAGAGAGAACCTTCCCAGGCTGTTATGCAACTGGGAGCACTAGCTCAGAGCAAGTTGCTTGATGCTAGCCCAACAGGAAAAATGCTTTTTTCTGTTTGTTTGTTTTTGGGAGGGGACCACCCTCATGTAGAGTACTAAAACTGTCATCTTTCTAAGATATGGATGGCCAAGGCCTCATTTATAATTTGGCTGCTCTTATAAGTGTAGGAATGTATTTAATTGAATACAGCCAATATGAATTATTTGTTTTTTACCCAAGTATACCTGTGCTCACTCTTCACCTGGCCTCTGTGCATCAAAGTCTCTCTGTTTTAGATGGTTTCTGCTCCTCTGTTATAACCCTCTATGTTCTTTAAGATCTTAAGATCACATCATATGGTAGCCTTTCCTATTCATAACAATAAAATGCAATCTGCCTTTCTGTTGAACTTCTCTGACCCTCTTCATTTGCAACTATATGATTGTTTGTTTTGGATCTTCTGATGCCTGATACCTGATCCCCATCAACACCTCATGATCACACAGGTTGGTATGCCTCTTCCATGTGGGCTTCGTTACTTCCCTGCCTGATGGCCGCTTGTTTAACTTCAAGCCTGTAAGACTCCAGGCGCTATATCTACTAATAGTTGGGCACCATCAGCTTTCTTCACCAAATTTGCTTATGCACTCATTTTGTCTTCAGCAATAGTGTCAGGCAGGTGAATATCATACAGCACCCATTATTAGAACAAAGTGTTCTGTGTGGAGGGAAGGTTTATGTAGAGGCCCAAATCCATCTGCTACCTTGATACTCGAACATATACATATATATACATAGATCAATTCCCCTATCTTTATATATTAACATATTTACATATATACATGTCTATATTTATACCTCTCTTTATTGCTTTTACCTCCTAACTCTTTCCTCTTTCCTTTTACTTTCCTCCTGCCCCACTCTGATGGTTACCCTTCATTCAACTCATTCATTCCTCTTGTCTACATTACAGTAAATCAGACCCATGAGACACTCTACACACTCCTTGCCATCAATTTTAGATCCCTTCTTGTTCCCCTTTCTCTGAGTTTGTTTGCTCACAACTCCCTTACACCACCACCACCGCCTCCTCCTTTCCTATGACCCCCACCCCCAAACCGTCAGTCCCATTGCTTTCTCCTCAGGATTGTTTATTCTGCCGATCTTATATAGAAAGACATATATATTTAAAAAAACCAAACCCATAAATAGGTCCAGGTCTATCTGCTGCCCTTCATGAATATCCCTCAACCAGGTCTGGGGAGGTCTAAGTACTGCCCTCTGGGTCAGTACTTTTGGGATTCCTCGGGGACTTCATGGCTTTGCTCCATTGCTGATCTGTTATGCTCTCTTCATGGTTTGCCCCACTGTGTGGGGGAGTCAGACCAGACCCACTTCCGTCACTGTCTCCAGTGTTGTCCTCTGTAGTGCTGTGGGCCAGTGAGAGGATGTCATGTCTCAAGCTGGGGCCGGCCCTATAGTCCTCTCTGTGCAATGTCTTTTCCAAGCGGGGATGTCACCCTCGATGCTTGGTAACACCTCCATTTCTGACCTTTTCTAGTCCGTTGAAGCGCTATATGAAGATTGATTTTAGTGCCAAGCACCTGTAGCTTGAATGGGATGAGATTGGGACAAGGGGATGTGAGGGGACAACTGATAAGGGAATTGACATTTGTTGAGCTCCCCTCTCATAGTTTTCACTATGAATCAGAGCCAACTCGATAATACCTAACAACAACGTAGTATAGACTCAGGAGAATTTAAAGAAGAGAGCCATTCATCTGGCTACGGATTTAGGAAAAGCTTAATGTGAAGGTTGGCATTTGACCTAACCTTTTCAGGATGGTTTATTTTTTTTGTTTGCTGTTTTGTTTTGATTTTGGATATTTCAAGGAGAGGATATTATAGGAAAAAGAAACTATATGCCATAAAGTTTAGAGACTTTTGGAACATGAAGGGGAGATATATGTACAGTAAAGAATAGCTCAATTTGAATTCAGAGTGAATTATAAGAACAAGAACACAAGTGCATGCTTGTGAATCTGAAGTGGGGCCTTGCTTGGGTCTCTGGCAGGTAACTTCAAAAAGCCTTCCTGTTGGTTCTTCTGTGAAGGAGAAGTGGGAGACGTTGGCTGTGAAATGTTTTGCTTGTGGGAATATCAGATAAATTGTTAACTAAGAGTCCGAATATTGATGCTTAAAAAATGGTTACAAAAAGATCTTAAAATCTTTAGTAATTCAGGACTTAAAAGACAATTGCCTATTACAATGATTAATGTTGTCTTAATGGACTTAGCTTTAGCAACAGTTGTTAGTCTGGCGCAGGACTGGGCTATGTTTTCTCGTATTGTACATGGGATTCCCAACCTATCTGTGTCCTTCCTATACCTCAGTTTAATCTCCCCTTCTCATCCACCCAGATGAAAATGGCAGGGAAAAAAATCCTTAAGAGTATTAGATTAGCCTCATATAGCCAGGGATAGAGGGAATGACCTGAGAGTGGGGGAGGGAGGGGGAGGGTCAAAGAAATGGTGGAGGTGTTTAAATGTGCTTGTATGATAAATATTTAGCTCACTGATAACAAGTGGAAAAATTGTGTGTGTGTGTGTAGTTGAAGTTTTTCCCTTGATTTTTAATGCACCCTCTATCTTTGAGACATTTTCAATAAACATCTCTATATTGGACGATAAAAAAAAAAAAAAAAGAACAAGGGTCGAAGAATAGCAGATGGAGAAAATAAGAATGGAAAGGGAAGTTCGGACCTTAGCAGAGGAATACTTAATGTCATGCTAGGAAGTTTATATTTTATTCTATATGGGTCGTAGAAAGTGATATAATGAGGAAGACTGCTATGTACCGTTCGTTGTCTGAAGAGTAGTGAGACAGAAAGGAAGACTATTGTGATAACCCTAGGTGATTGCTAGTGAAGGTTTCAAATGGTGTGGGGACTATAAGGAATGAGAGGAAGTAAGTGTCACAAAAGTAGAATCGGTACATTTATTCAGTTATGTGACAGAAAATAAGCTATGAGTACACAAAAGACTTATAGAGGTATAAATATAGGCATGTATATATGTTAATATATAATGATAGGAATATAGGTTTGTGTACATATGTTTATCTGTTAAATATTAAGGTAACAGATGGACAGTGGCCCTCTAATCAGTCCCTCCCTCAATGCAAGAACTATGTTCTAATCTGACATCCTGTGATGCTTACCCTCCTGACACAATCTCTGAAGACAAAATGGGTGCATAAGCAAATGTGGTAAAGCTGATGGTGCCCGGCTATTATCAGATATAGTGTCTGGGGTCTTAAAGGGTTGAAGATAAACAAGCAGCCATGTAGCAGAGAAACAGCAAAGCCCACATGGAAGAAGCACACCAACCCGTGTGATCATGCGAGGTGTCAATGGGATCAAGTATCAGGCATCAGAAGATCCAAAACAAACAAACAATCATATAAATGCAAATGAGAAGGGTCACAAAGAAGGAATGAGTCAGCCAGGTTGTGGTACAGTGCCAAACAAACACACGCAGTCCTCTAATTCTTAAATGCTTCCTCCCCCTCACTATCATGACCCAGTTCTATCTTACCAATCTGTCTATAATGGAGCATGTACACTAATTGACACAGATAAGAGCTCTTGACACATGGAATCCAACACAAATAAACCCCTCAGGAACAGTAATGGGATTAGCAATACGATGAGAGTAGGGGGAAGAAGGGAAAGAAAGAGGGACTGATCACAAAGATCAAAGTATAACACACACACCCATGGGGACAAACAACAGAAACATGGGTGAAACACTGACAGCGGACAGTGTCAGATATGAAAATAACAATAATTTATAGTTTATCAAGGGTTCACTAAGGTGGGGAGGGAGGGAAAAAAGAGCTAATACCAAGAGCTCAAGTAGAAAGAAAATGCTTTGAAAATGAGAATACCAATATATGCGCAAATGTGATCGATACAATTAATGTATGGATTGTTATAAGACCTATAAGTGCCCCCAATAAAATCATTTTTAAAAAGAAGACGAAAATGAGCTAAGATAGAGACCATGCCTTCTAGAGATTGACAGTGGACTTGGAGGCTTCTGTGTTTTTATGATGTTGAACAGAGGACAGTGGAGTTGACAGACTAAGATGGATGAGGAAAAAAGACCTAGCAATCCACTTCTAAAAAGTAGCCACTGAAAACCCTGTCATGGGAATGGTTCAGGACTATGCAGTGTTCTGTTGTTCCTTTGTGCCCGGATGAACATGCTTGATAAGCCGCTAACATCAGCAAATGGGAAGGATGCAGAATAGCAATTGTAAGCTGCTTTTTTTTTAAATTTAATCATTTTACTGGGGCTCATACAATTCATCACAATACATAGATCAATTGTGTAAAGCACACCTATACATTTGTTGCCCTCATCATTCCCAAAATTCGCTTTCCTCTTGGGTTCCCGGAATCAGCTCGTTTTCCTTTTTTTCCCTTCCCTCTCCCTCTCCCTCCCCAACCCCCCTCCCCCATGAACCCTTAATAATTTATAAATTATTATTATATCTTTTCTTACACTGCCCGGCATCTCTCTTCACCCACCCCTCTGCTGTCCATCCCCCAGAGAGGAGGTTGTACGTAGATCCCTGTGATCAATTCCCCCTTTCTACCCCCCCTCCTTCCCTCCTGGTATCGCCACTGTCACCCCTGGTCCTGAGGGGTTCATCTGTCCTAGATTCCCTGCGTTTCTAGTTCCCATCGGTACCGCTGTGCATCCTCTGGTCTAACCAGGTTTGCAAGGCAGAATTGGGGTCATGGTAGTTGGGGGGGTAAGCTGCTTTTTAAATAAATATGATTGTAAATGGTGAGAAAGAAAGCATTACCCAAAAAATGAATTTCTATTAAAGTTCCTTGTTTTGAAAACCCAAACAATGAAGATTTTGGAAAATGAAAACTAAAATAGGTACCAAATAGAACATATTTTCTGTTCTATTCCCCTGTCTTGGTATTGTCAAAATGTCAATTATATAAAGGCAGCATATATTTGCTTGTAAATTGTTTAATGATCATCCATGTATAATTTTTATGTTCGACCCACAGATACTTCTAGAAATAAGAAACTTCTAAATAATTTTGATTTTGTGATTTTTGATTGTTTGCCTTTTGTGAAAATTATTTAATCACTCTTAAGTAGAAGTAGCATTAGGCATAGCAGACCTGGGCAATTTTAGACTATCAGTCCATTCATTAATTTATGTCCATCCTTTTAAGTTGAAATTTTCCTATTTGAATTCTCCCTGAATTTTGCTGCAAGATTAAGCCTATTTGTCAAGTATTGACTAGAGTTGACTAAGACCTTTGGTAGCATTTTTTGCCGTTTACTAATCTATAAAATTAGGATAGTAATGTTATAGAACATACTATTTTGAGGATTAAATGAATTAGGCTTGTAAAATACTTAACTGTCTGGCACATAGTAATTCTCAAAAGTTAACTGTCATTCTTATTAACTATTTTAACCTCTTCTATCTATCCCGATTTCTTTTCCCTTAGATTAAATGACAGTGAAATTGAACGACAACATTTTAAAGACCAAGATATGTATTCTGATAAATCTGATAAAGAAAATGATCAGGAGCATGATGAGTCTGATAATGAAGTGATGGGGAAGAGTGAAGAAAGTGACACCGATACATCAGAAAGGCAGGATGATTCCTATATTGAACCTGAGCCTATTGAGCCTTTGAAAGAGACTACCTACTCTGAGCAGAGCCATGAAGAACTTGGAGAGGTAAAACTCTTCTTTTCAGAGATTTTGATTTTCTAATTTGGGGAAAATTTTTTTAATGAAATTACTTATATTCCTGAAAGACAATATTTATGTGCTATTTTATTTTTTTAATTGCAATACATTTAAAATATATTAGAATTTTTAAACAACTAAGCAGAAATGCTTGCTTATATGACAATATAGTCTGTTAAATACAAAGTATATACTTTCTTTACATTTACTATTAAAATACTTACCATTTCATATTATAACCAGGTGTAAAGTAAACCAGAAGGAAACTTGAGTTTCAAACTTTGTTAATATTGCTAGCCTGTAGAAGAAAGAGTAATATAGAATATTAGAGCATTTTTTGTAATGGTTCTTTTATATATCTTAATAGCTTTGTCTCTTGTATTATCTTTTAAAATTAAATTTTATACCTATAGACTGTGTTAATTGACACACTGCTTACCAGCCATGAATATACTTGTGTGTTTATGCCCAAACATTGCTGATTTGTCTCAAGTTAAATCGTGTTTGCACTTACAGTTTATGCAGTTTGTAAACCTGAAAGCAATATAAGTTTTTACAGCAGCTGACTGCATGGGATAATTTTGGCTTGTAATAGCCAGTTTGCAAAGTGTCTGGAATGTTTGGGAAAGTGCAACTTTAGTCTCTCCTTATCTGGAGCAAAATAGAGTATACAAAAATCAAAGACACATGGAAACAATTAGTCCAAAAGGACTAATGGACCAAACAGACCTCAGCCTGCCTAGCCATGTGACCAGAAAAACTAGGGTGATAGTGTTAATAAAGAATATTGAATATATCATGAACTGCTAGAGAACAAATAAATCTGTCTTGGGAGAAGTACAGGCAGAAGCATGGGTAGCTGAACTTCTCTTGTACTTTGGACATGTTATATCAAGAGGGAGCAGCCTCTGGAGAAGGAGATCATGCTTGATTGCATGAGATTCAGCAAAAAATAGATGACCCTCAATGAGACAGGTTAACAGAATGACTACAATGGGCTGAAACATAACCATGATTGTGAGGATGGTATAGGACTGGGTAATGCTGCATTATGAACCAGAACAAACCACCAAAAAATTATAAAATGTCATAATTGTGTATCCAATTGGCAAAAATGGGAGAAATGCATGGATGTGAAATTGTTAGAAACGGTTTAGGGCAACTTAGCAAAACATTTTAATAAAATATTTGGCTTAAAAATTCCTCTTCAAGGCAAGTATTAACAAATAAAAGAAAGAATACAAAGATATTTGTCATGCTGCTTATGATATGAAAATGTGACATTAAGAGGGGAAATTATGAACAAATAGGTCATGTTACACTTTGAACAAATGGGTCATATAACCTTTATAATGGTAGAATACGATAAACGTATTCTTGTGGAAAGATGTAGGGTGTTGTTTTTAAACTAATAACTGGAGAGAAGACTAAAGTATGAAGTAACCAGAACCTTAAAACAGTATTCCTGAGTGGTGGGTGCAGTATGAGAGAAGTTTGATTGCTTATCTGAATTTTCTAGAATAAATGTTAAACAGCCCTAATTGCAACATAATCATTTCAAATGTTTAAAATAAATAAATCCTGATTAAGGAATAAAGGTTAAACAAGTGTAGCTTAAGATTCTAAGCATGAATAGAAAGCAGACAGCTGCTAGAATGATGACATTTTGACATCATTGCTCCTTTAATAAACCGGTAACAAGACTCCTCGTGGAGTCCCTGGGCCTCTGGTGTAAGTGACTGACTGCTGCCCTGCTAATTGAAAGGTTAAAGATTCAAAGTCACGCAAAGATGCCTTCAAACTACAGAACACAATTCTATTTTGATACACATGAGATTGCTATGAGTCAAAATCAACTTCTTGACAACTGGCCACCTTTTTTCTTTTTTTAAAAAATTTTGAAAGACTCATTATAAAACACCCATGTAGGCTTGGCTCCCACATGTCAGGAAAACTGCTTATTAAAAATGAGTGCTGACATTTATAATTTTGAATGTTCATTCATTTGAAATCATTTTTTCTCAAACATTTGTTCTTAAATCTAAGGCACCAGTTGATCTTAATTTTAAAATTATGTACACAAAGAAATTAGCAGTAATTGTCTCTGTGGACATTCTAGAAAGACAGGAAAGCAGTAAGAGAGTTGTATGTTTTGTCTTCAGAGGGGGCTGTTTCCTTTTTTTAAAAATTGTACCACACCATTATGTATGACACCATCATTGGTAATTGTGCAAAAAACAGGATCTTGTGCAAAGGTCTTAATAAAAACAAAGTAAAAGTTACATTTTATCAGTGGGGGAAAAAACAATGGTTGAAATACCCTGTGGAGAGTATATATATCAAACATTTTTGTGTCTAAATAATATATGATTAATTTTGTTCATTGCTAAAGGCAGGTGAGGCTTGTCAAACAGAAACTGTGTCTGAAGAAAACAAAAGTCTTATCTGGACATTGTTGAAACAAGTCCGCCCCGGTATGGACCTGTCCAGGGTAGTTCTGCCGACGTTTATTTTGGAGCCTCGTTCTTTCCTGGATAAGCTGTCTGATTACTACTATCATGCAGATTTCCTATCTGAGTAAGTAGACTCTTTATTTCTTTAAACAGGAGATACTATTTGACTTGAGACTTTCTACATGCTATTATGCCTTGCCAAAATCAGGCGTTAATGGTGTATGCTCCCTCGTCCTCACTTCTTTAATTGAAATGAACAAAAGCATGCTTTCTGCTTTGCCAAAATGTTTCCATCTATGAAATTGACTTGCGTGACAAAATTGACAAGTTATGCCTTACCTAACAACATTGCTTTTGCAGGCTTCTCTAACCGGTTCACTGACCTAACATGGGCCGTGGTAATTGGTGTTGGTTGTTCTGTCCAAGCCCTCTTCTAAGTTCTTACCTGGGACTGTTGCTTCTTTTTAAACTGACCATTCCTACATGCTTGGAGCATGTGCCACTTACTACCACCAGCGTGTCCCTGGATATACAGCCTTTTGGCATAGCTGTCTACTCCCTACTCTAATCTCCACTTTTCTTCCTGCCAGCTCTATCCACATGTGATTCTAGACAGATGTAGGCATAAAGGAATCAGGAGAGAACTGTCCAACTCATCCCAATAGTTTCATGGAGAAACCTTAAAATATAACAAATTTTCAAGTCTCACCTGATGCCCCATTGCAGTGGCAGTGGTATTTCGAGGCACCGTGTTTTTGAAGCTATTGATCTCTCATAGTGTACCAGATATTTTAGAACCTGCATAATTTCTATATTCAGGTTTTTTTCTATTGTTTTAATGAACATTGCAAAAAATTTTGAGGTGAGTCAAAGGACATTTGACAAAATGGAGAATTTTTAAGACATCATATGATAGACAAAGTGCTTATCTTGTTAAAAATAAAAACAACTCCTAGATATTGAGATGAAAAAGATCAACAGCCTAATAGGAGAAGGAGTAAAGAAATGACCAGATGGTTCAGAAATAAAGAAATGGAAAAAACTCCAAAACATTGTAAACCTCATTCAAAATAAAAAATCCACAAGCTACAGTAAATACATTTGTTCATCATATTTACAAGTGGTCCTTAAAAGAAAAAACAAACAAACAAACAAGCTGCCCTAAAACTTTCATACCCCAGCTCAGCCTTTTATCTTCTTACAGCTCTTCTAGTTTGTTTCAGAGATTAAAATAGCATAATGCACTTCTGGGAATCACTCCTATAGCTATCACTATCCACTTAAAATATATGTAAAATTATTGCAATGTGGTTCTCAGTATTCAATAATTGGATATAACTTAAATATCTGGCTCTAATGCACGAGTCAGTAGAGTAGGGTATATTCATCCACATATGAGAAAGAACTCTAAACTCAACTGAAAGAACCTCCAGGATTACATTACATAATAGTATGTCTAATGTGCCACTTTTTTTAAGCAAAGGAAGTAATGTTTTGTCTTAAGTAACATTCTCTATTTTACCCTCTAGGCAAGCAATTCTCAACCTATGGATTGTGTGACCCCTTTGGGGGTCGAATGACCCTTTTACAGGGGTCGCCCAATTTATAACAGTAGCAAAATTACAGTGATGAAGTAGCAACAAAAATAATTTTATGGTTGGGGGGGTCATCACAACATGAGGAACTGTATTAAAGGGTCACGGCATTAGGAAGGTTAAGAACCACTGCTCTAGTGTAAAATATTCATTGCAATAGCTATACAGAACTCACAGACAAAATTCATGATCAAAGGGTTTAATAAGGAAGTTAACAAGTTGTAAGGCCAGTGAGAAATGCTCAGGATAGTTGGTTATCAGAACATGTTACAAAATTCTTTCACTAAATGCCCAAAGGGGCATGCCACTCTGTTGTAAGCTTCAACCCAAAGGCACTAAGCATAAGTCAGAAAACCCAGCTTCCTGAATTAAGTGCCACTTCATAAGCCAGCCTCCTGACAGAAGCACGCAGCTTTACTTGCTCCGTGGGCTGGGAAGTTCATTTCACGTCTTTTCCTCAAAAATCACCACATTAGACCATATAAAACATGCTTCCAAAATACAAATTTCTTTAAATAAGACCAGTAACTAAATTACACAAAATGAAAACTTCACAATGAAATTACTGCTAACATACACAATATTTCACACAATTTACCACCATAGCAAAGTGACAGAACTGGCAGGTAAGGTGCAGCTCCTGATAATTCCTCATTTAAAATGAAAATTGTACTGTTACACATAGTTTGCTCATTAATTCTTCCATTTCTATAAGTTATTTCTTCTGTGTTTTTACCTAGGGACTGAGAAATTATATAATCTTATACTTAATGAGAGAGGTAATTTGCCAGGAAGAGGCTGACATCAGCTTCCTGTCCTCCTCTATGTATACAGCACACTCACCACTTAGCATCATCATCTAACTAGTGTCAGCAACTGACTATGAACTTAGCCATGTAGACATGGTTCTTCACTGTTACCTGGAACTGAAGCCCTCTAAATTAATTGTAAATGGGACTGCTTGGTCACTGTCCATTATTGCAAGTGCTAGCCAACACACAGTACGTATGTTTCAGAATTTATAAGGTATTTTGTTGATTTTCCCCAACCACTATCAGATCTTTTTCAGGGAACTCCTAGCAACATTTAAGGTTCTTCAGAACTTAGTTGAGAATCCTTGGTTTAGAGAATAAAAAACAAAACAAAACTTTCATATAAGACATAGGTAGTATCTTAGAGTATGCAGAAAATTGGGAGAAAAAATTAGATTATGAAAAATGATTCTTGGGATTAGATTTACATCGATGTTTTTGTCATCTCTTTTAATAGGAATTATACTTTCTAAATAAATTACATTACTTGGCTTGATAAATGAACATTTTTGATACATTTTGTACTAATTTGAGTTTACTATTTTGTCATTTAGGGCTGCTCTTGAAGAAAATCCATATTTCCGTTTGAAGAAAGTAGTGAAATGGTATTTGTCAGGATTTTATAAAAAGCCAAAGGTAGTGCTCTTTTAATTTCTTTAGCTTTGATAGCTTTATGCATTTATTAATAATTATAGTAACGAATCTCCTTGAGTTAGCAAAATTATACATGGCACAATCATTTTAGATCGGTGCTGTGGTTGAAGTAGTTTGTTCTGCTCCATGTTACTATGGCGCAGTCTCTGTAATGGATGCTTCCCACATGGCACAGTTAAGTTTGTTTTGGCTGGTTTAAATTATTTTGTGTCTTCCATATTTGTAATTTGAAACTTGTGTGTTTTTTACTAGGGACTGAAGAAACCATATAATCCTATACTTGGTGAGACTTTTCGTTGTTTATGGATTCATCCCAGAACAAACAGCAAAACTTTTTATATTGCTGAACAGGTATTAAAAATACATGTTACACAGGGCATCTAGGACAGATAAACCCCTCCGGACCAATAATAAGAGTAGCGATACCAGGAGGGTCAGGGGAAACTGTGATAGAAAGGGGGAATCGATCACAAGGATCTACATATAACCCCCTCCCTGGGAGACAGCAACAGAAAAGTGGGTGAAGGGAGACGTTGGACAGTGTAAGACATGACAAAATAATAATAATTTATAAATTATCAAGGGTTCATGAGGGAGGGAAGGAGGGAGGGGGAAAACTGAGCTGATACCAAGGGCTTAAGTAGAAAGAAAATGTTTTGAGAATGATGATGGCAACAAATGTGCATGACACAATGGATGTATGTATGGATTGTGATTAGAGTTGTACAAGCCCCCAGTAAAGTGATTTTTAAAAGAAAAAAATTTAAATAAAAAAATACATGTTATAAGTAGCAAAATTGATCTGGAAATTATTGGAATATGTTTGATAGTTAACATTAACTCAGTGAACTCACTTTAACTCCTCTTATTGAATATTTGATAAACATTTAAGTCATATTTCAGTCATGGAATCTCTGCAAAAAGTAAAGCTGTGTATGTCCTGCCTTTTTTCTTATTTGCCCGTACTCACATTTCTAATTCATTGTTTATATCATATTCTTCTCTACTTATGATTCTCATATATCCCATTCATTAAAACCTGAGAATATGGTGTTTTTCCTCAGTAACAATGGTCCCTTAATGTAATAATTCTTTTTTTTTTTTTCTTTTAAAAAAATCATTTTATTTGGGGCTCATACAACTGTTATCCCAATCCATACACACATCAATTGTGTAAAGCGCATTTGTACATCGTTTCTCAAAACATTTTCTCTCCATTTAAACCCCCGACATTAGGTCCTCAATGTAATAATTCTTACCTTGGGTGTTAAGAAGGATTACACCATGTGTCACTTGAACAGCCTTGCCCTTACCCTTGAGAATTTGTTACACACTCGGGTTGAAACAACTCATCTATATTAATGGTTTTTAAATTTATGATTATGCCTCTTGCATGTTAAGGTCACAGTATTTCTTCATATAATTGAAAAGCTTGCATAGAATTTTATTTTAGTTTTATCTCCATTTCAGAAATAGAAGGTGTAGAAATGTAAAAATATTGGATTATTAAAATTACATTTTCCAAAGCCTTTGTTAGATTCCTACATCCTATTCAGTAATCCATATAAAGAATAACCACTGTAATCTGTCATTCATTCTGGAGTAGCAAATGATCACCAAAACTTATTATTTTAAAATATAACTATTATCTCATACAGTGAGTTTGAGGAAGCTGGGTACTGCTTAGCTGCGTTGTTGTAGCTTAGCGTGTTTCATGGCGTTACATCAGCCAGCCCACAATCATCTGAAGTCTTTTCTGGGCTGGAAGATTGTCTTCCACAATCATTCACACGTCTGTTCACAAGAGCGCTCAGATCCTCACCCCAGGGACCTCTTTGTAGAGACATAGACACGATACTGCATTATCTTTTATAACTTAATGTCATATGTAATATACCATTATTTTTGCACAACAGACTTGGGAGGTGGGTTTCCTTGGTAGCTGGTTATACCACAAGTATAACTGTTTAATATTGCTACTTACATTACTTTATTACTCATTATTATAGTGTGCTTTTAAGAGTTGAATTTTTGAAAATCGAATAATACACTTACCTTTTTCCCAATGTTTAATTAGGTGTCCCATCATCCACCAATATCCGCCTTTTATGTTAGTAACCGAAAAGATGGATTTTGCCTTAGTGGTAGTATCCTGGCTAAGTCCAAGTTCTATGGTGAGTTCTTTCCTGCTTCCGTCTTTTTTCTGAGAGATAGTAGTTTCTGGTGAATTTTGACTTGACAATATCTCAAGCTGTTTCCAGAAGGAAATTTATATGTAATTTTAAGTACCATGCTTATAAGCATGGTACCTTTCTCTTTTAGTATTTAGTGTGTTTTGTTTTTGTTTTTGCTTATTATACAGATAGGGCTGGTTCATATTTTATCACATATGTATAAATTCATCATAAAGGTGAATGCCAGTTTTCTCATAATGATCTGATATTTTGAACCTGACCATGTCAAGAAGTGAAGAGTGGATGTAATTCAGTAATGCTGAGGCTAGGTAGGGGAAAATAAATATGAGGAAAGGACTAAAAGAACATACTATTTAGTTTTATTGATTGTATCTTAGGGAGGTATTTTTAAATTTTCTATTATTTTGATAAAAAGTAAAGCTTAGGACTTAAATAATGGAAGTTACAGTCAAGAAATAGTATTTTGACATAGAATGGGTATAAACAGTCATTGTTTTAGTGGATGTTCTGCTATTTTAAAAGCCTCATCAAATAAAAGAAGCATATAACTGTTAACTTTTTTAAGTACATGATTATTTTGCAAGAATAAGAAAGCAGATAAAACAGATCTTAAAATTATAATAATGCATACATGTTTGGGGCATATTGAGATTGAGACATTTTTTAAGGTATTCTATTGAGGATGTCATGTTTGATAGACAACCTGGATTTATTTTTTTGTTTTGAACTGATTGAATTTGTTTCATGAGACTTCATAAACAATATTCATTTCAGGAAACTCCTTATCTGCAATATTAGAGGGAGAAGCACGGTTGACATTCTTGAATAGAGGTGAAGACTATGTAATGACAATGCCATATGCTCATTGTAAAGGTAAAATTTTCCTTATTTGAGTTAGATTTTTTAAATCATTTTAAGTATATTTTATGAAGCCATAAATTGTGGTATTGATATTGATTGATTTAGCCTTGTATTTTGTTAGAAAACATATATAATTTGAAAACACTGAAGAATATTGCTGTCATCTGCTGGATGTTTCTTTATTGAATTAGTTCACCAATAATAAATGTACTATGGTATATACATTACTCCTAAGAGACTAATTTACAATGTTGGAATTTCTTTTTTTGTTTGTTTAATGTACGGGTTTTGAAATTTGCTGAAACTACCCATTACTTCAGAATACTTAGTGATTTTCCTTCTCTTATACCATCCTTTTAAAATTTAACTTTACTGCTGTTTGATTTTTCTAATCCTTTTAAATCTTCTTTCTTACCAGCTGACAACTTCTTAAAAGTTAATGAATCCTTTTTTCTCTTATTATTTAGAATACAGGGTAGAATATTAATAACTGTCAATTCAGGTCAATCACTCAACAAATTCTATGTACTTAACATTCAAAAATTCATTTAATAATTCCAATAACCTAAAAGTAGGTAATATAATTGTGCCTGTTTTACACATGAGGAAATGAGGCACAAAGAGGTTAACTAATTTCTCAACATTACACAGGTAGAATGTTGTAGAGTCAAGATCTGAAGTGTGCACTTTGCACTGTGCACTTTTAACAAGTATACTATACATCAACTTAAATACTCAGTTTGGCCTTTATCAGTTTCTTTCCAACTTATTTCTGTAAAACAAATTTTGGGGGTTATTATCCTTATTTATTTTAAGAAATGATTCATGAAAATATAGAAATTATATATTAGGCAGCATTTTGCAGATGAGAAAATTGGGAGGGGTAATGATCTTACTCAAGACAAATTCCCTAGTTAGTAAGAAACCTGAGTCTACACTTTAGGATTTCTGACTTCACTCACTGTACCATTTACCTATTTATTAGGTAAAAAAGTGACCAATTTTTAGCCTCTGGCTATATGATTCATAGAGCTTCACATATAGTTCATGAAGTAACATATCTAAAATTGTGAATTATATTGATGAAATGTTTTCAAGTTTTGTATCATTTGGAATAAATAAATTGATATACAATATAGATACCCATGCCATATCCAACTAACAATAGTAAAAATTGTGTATATTTTTATTGCATAGGAAAAAAAGAGAGGTAATCCTATGTGAATGAGAGTTGAAAATATTTTTATTAGGCTTCCCATCTTTGCATCTAAGGCTGCAGTTTTTCAGGGTGTGTTCCTTTAGCCACTGTTCCCACAAATTGTTTTACAAATAAAGAGTTCTGTAGTCAAGTGTAGGTCATATTGCATATTTTGCTCCTGTGTGAGAAATTAGCATTGTATATTTGCTTATTAAAGATTGCCTTAATAGATTAATCCAACAATGCACAATATACACAAAGTTACATGTCATATATTTAACCTTGCTAAATCCAGAATTTCTCTAACATTATGCCACAAAATTATTTGGGGGGCTATTTCTTTGACTTATATCCAAGAATCCTATAGAGTCAACTTTATGTTTATATAAAAAGTGTTTATTGGGTGAGACAGAGTGCACAGTTATAAATATCTCTTGGAAGTGAATTAGATTACAAAGCTCGAATTGCTAAAACCCAGTGCAGTCTCTATTCAACTTGTGTCCTTTTTCTTCTCATTAGGCATTCTTTATGGCACAATGACACTGGAGCTTGGGGGAACAGTCAATATCACATGTCAGAAAACTGGATACAGTGCAATACTTGAATTCAAACTAAAGGTTAGTTGAATAGAGAACTGATCTGTTTGTTAATAAACCTTCGCCCAATTCGAAACAACATTTAAAAAAAATAATAATTAAAAGAAATTTAAAATAAAACAAACTAAATGTTAGTAGAGACTCATAGGGAGGTATCGCCTTTAAGGGAATTATGCTATTATGCTATGAATAAGGAGCACTGGTGGCAGAGTGGTAATGGTTTGGGCTACAATCCGCAAAGTCAGCAGTTTGAAGCCACCAGCCACTGTGCAGGAGAAAGGTGCGGTTTTCTACTCCAATAAAGAGTTACCGTCTCAGAAACCCACAGGGGCAGTTCTACCCTGTCCTATATCGTCCCTATGAGGCAGCATCAACTCAAAGACAGTGAGCTTTGAGATGCTAAATAGAGTTCTGTGACACAGTGGTTATGCATTGGGCAGTGAGCCACAAGGTCCACAGTGTGAAGCCATCAGCTTCTCCATGGGAGAAAAGCAGGACTTTCTGCCACAATAGAGAGTTAAGTCTTGGAAATTCACCGTGGGCAGTTATACTGTGCCCTATAGAGTCACTGTGAGTCTGCCTGAACTCGAGGGCAATGAGCTTGGACTTTGAGTTTGTGTTATAAATATTGAATAAAGAGCATAATTTAGTGTCTATTTAAAGACTAGGAACACAGAGGTCACATAAAGTCAGTGATATGAAGAAAGGGGCCAAACCAAGCGCACTGCCGAAAAGGCCATCCAGACTCCTATTAATCCTCTAGGGCAGAGTAGACCTGCTTCTGGGGGTTTTCACGCCTGCAAATCTGCAGAGAAACAGATTGCCTCATCTTTCTTCCTCGGAACTGCTGGTGGACTTTTGTGTAAGCAGCTTGAGGCTTAAAATACTTTACCAGGGCTCTTTGTTAAGCAGTAGGAGTCAAGGGTAGGTGAACACTTTGGGATGACTTCTTAAGGCAAGATCCTTATAATCCAAATCAGCATTGTGTTACAGTTTTGCTTTTAGTTTTCATTAAACTATCAGCATTATGTGATAGGAGATTTAAGAAGCATTTCAATAGAAATTTCGCAGTAAATTTAAGCATTGCTTTACAAAATACCTAAAATCATGACTCAACTGAGTTCAAGGTATGTACACTAAGAGTTTTATTAGTTTGTGGCAACATAACAAATTACTCTAAAATTTACAGGCTTACGAACCATGTGATGGCCCTCACAGGTTCTCTGCATCAGGAATTTGGACAGATCATATTACGGATACATTGTCTCTGCTGCATATTACCTGAGCCCTCAGTTAGAAAGACTTCCAGGCTAGGAAAGACTACATATTTTGGAGCTGGTATCATTTGTAGGAGTCTGGTGAAACAGTCAGTGAGTTAAGCATTGGTCTGCTAAGCACAGGTCAACAGTTCAAACCTACCAGAAGTTCCACAGGAGAAAGATCATAAAGATTTACAATATTGGAAACCCTAAGGAGCAGTTCTACTCTGTCCTAAAGGGCCATTATCAGTTGAAATGACTCATTGACTCAACAACAGAAGATTTGATTCTGTTGTTTGTTTTGGTAAAGAGTGGCACCAGTTTTGTTTTCCATTGTAACTCATGTTGAAGACTTGCACCTTACATATCTGGCACCTGGGGCTAGGATGACTCAAAGACTAGGACTGATGAGCTGAACACCTGTATCTATAACCTTTACATGAGACTTGGCTTCCATGATAGCATAGCAGCCTCAAGATAACCAAACTTTTTATGCAGCAGCTCAGGGTTTCAAGTGCATGTATTCTAGTGAGCAAGGAGGAAGCTGCACCACACAACTTTCAGGACCTCTTCTTATAAGTTATAGTATATCACTTGCACCATCATCTGTCATCTGAAGAGTCATAATCCACCCAAATTCAAGGGCAAAGGATGCAGACCTCACTTCTCAGTGACCTCACTGAGGAATAAACAGTGCATGGGCTGTGAATGGGGAGTGGGGTATTCTTGAAAATACCTTTAGAAAGGTAGCCTGAAAATGAAAAAGAGTAAAGTTGAGACCCCTTTACAGTGTTAATAGTTGTTATAAAAAGTACATTATGTTAAGACAAAAATATGTATGAACTATTTGGTACTTATTCCTGAATTTCTGTGTTGTTAAGCAGCTAATCAGCAACTTTGCTCTAACAAAAAAGGGTTAGATTGAATCATCAGAATTTTGTCTCTAAGGAGAAACATTTATAAGGTAGTACAGTGACTCAGTATATATTCCTTCTACTTTTATTTCTTGGAGGATTTTTTTATTTCTGATTGGTTATCGTACTTTGTTTTGATATGAAGAAAAATGACTCTTTCGGTAAACCCGTCAACTTTTTCGACTTGTTGAGCTTCTATTTCTTTTGTTTTGTTTTTTTAAATAAGGAAAATTTTTATTAGTGTGTAGATTACATTATTTAAAAAACACATGGGTAAAGACAAACATACAAAGGCAGTATCATACAATTGATTTCTAAACTCAATAATTTTGAAATACAAAACAATGATCATTATCCCCAAAAGTCATTTTATTGAAACATATTGATGTTCAAGTTGTTCTAAAATGCTTCAATTTTTTTACAAATATTACTGTATTATTCATTTTCATTCTATACCAGAACTGTTTTTGTTTTTTAAAAGTTAAATTCTCAAAATTGTAAATAGTTATTTCTTGTGATTAATTATAGGAAGCTTCCCCTATCACAAGTTTATCAATCTGGTTACTGCTTTGGAAATAATTACAATTTGGAATTATCTGTATTTATTGAAAAGCCAAAAATTTAATGGGTAAAATATGGAGATTTAAAGTAGGAAAACTAAGGAAGAGTGATGCTTTGTTTCCTGCATACCAGCTGAAAAAGGCTCCATTACTTACTTAGTAAGACTAGAGAAGCGGTTTCTGCCAGACCACAGGCTGTATTTTCTTTTCTAAAGAATGGCAGATTTTAATAAGTCGCTTAGCCAAATAAGCAGAGAAGTTTACATTAGTCTATATTTTAACTGCCTGAAATAAATTGTTTTCTTAACTGGTTTAGCAGCCTCATACTCTAATAAGGCAGCAAACCTTTTGTTCCAGAATAAGTTTGACTCAAAGACTGTTTATAATGTATGTTATATCTTTAATCATTCATCAAGGTGGACCTTCATAAACTCAGTAACTTAATGTAAAGATGGCCTTGTCTATCAATGCAAATTGTTGAGCAAAAAAAAAACCCAAAAAAATATGCTCATAAAATAAGGTAGAAATTGGCTTGTATAAAACAAAAGGATTGGAATATGTATGGTAGTAAAAACACTTTATAAAAACTTTTAAAGATAATTATGGTTTACATGCTTAAGTCTGCTTAAAGTGACCATAAATGATTGATTGGAAAATTTCTTCTCCTAACATAATGCCCATTCATTATAACTAGAGCTTCTATTTTTTAATGTATTGCCATATTGATTAAAATTAAAAGGGTTCAACCTTGAGAGTCAGGAGAGTGCATAGGACTTGAGTCAGTTGTATCATTGTGATCTTTCTCAATATGTATGTTTATTTGGATATTATGTCATCTGATTTTATAAATGTTTCCACAGCAACAAATTCTAATGTCCTCTGATTTAACATTTCTGACAGAGTTTTCATCATTTGGGCACTATAACTATAAAATTGCTTTTTAGTTGTTTGTCTACATTGTGTGTAAACATGTTAAAATTAAAATATTTCTTCAACATTTTTTTAAAGCCATTTCTAGGTAGTAGTGATTGTGTTAATCAAATATCAGGGAAACTTAAATTGGGAAAAGAAGTCCTAGCTACTTTGGAAGGTCATTGGGTAAGTATTTTTATATACTAGCTTTTCAAAACTGATTTTATTCTGTGGTGAAAAAACAAAATTACATTTAAAATAAAAATCATGCTTAATAATTATAAAAACACCACTATTCAACATAAGCTATTCAACAAAATATGTTCAGTTACTACATATTTTGATTATGATGCTATTTTGAAATACTTAGTTTTATATAGTATTTACTCTTTTCAAAACTTTAAAACAATTGAAATTGCTATTGTTTAAGATCTATTCATCTTAGTTCATTTAATAAGGCCCAGAAACTTTGAATGTTCCCAAAATGAGTGGCCGCGCAGGAATGGCAGCCCCAGTGCTTCCAGGCCTGCACTCTTACCCTGGCACTATGCCACTGCCTGTGTAGAAGGAAGAGGCACAGTTCTGTGTAGAGTTGGGTTGTCTTTTGAGAAACATGGAAAAGGAATAGTGGTATATGAGAATAATGACTTTGATAGACTTCCTGGCGACTGAAATTTATTATGCAATTTTGTTAAGAGAAGCTTAAACATTTAAAAATACTTTTAAAAATTATGGTCCTGTCTAATTGCACCCTCATTGTGAACATTGAATATATGGTATTTTCTGCCTATAATAATGAACAAATGAGAAATGTGATGCAAAATGAAACTAGGCCTAGAGGCTTGGTTAAGCGGTTAGATATGGTTTCTAAAATATTTTGTTAATTCACTTGTATATGAATGTCATTTGGGGGAAGAATAAAGCCATCTTTTTATTAATAAATTTCCTAAGATTGTACTCAAGTTTTCAGTGCTAAGAAAGTACCTTAGAAGTTGTTTTATCCCATGACAAAATAATAATAATTTATAAATTATTAAGGGTTCATGAGGGAGGGGAGGCGGGAAGGTAGGGGAAAAAATGAGGAGCTGATATCAAGGGCTCGAGTAGAAAACAAATGTTTTGAGATTGATGATGGCAACAAATGTACAAATGCACTTGACACAATGGATGGATGTATGGATTGTGATAAGAGTTGTATGAGTTCCCAGTAAAATGATTAAAAACGAACGTGTGCATAAGTAAGTGTGGTGAAGATGGCTGATGGTGCCCGACTATCGAGAGATATAGTGTCTGGGGTCTTAAAGGCTTGAAAGTAAACAAGCAGCCATCTAGCCCAGAAGCAACAAAGCCCACATGGAAGCAACACACCAACATGTGTGATCATGAAGGGCCGAGGGGACCAGGTTTCAAGCACCAAAGGTGTGGGGGGGAAAAATCATATCATCGTGAATGATGGGAGCACGTGATGGGGACCCAATCCCCATCTGTAGACAACTGGACATCCCTTGCAGAGGGGTAGTGGGGAGGAGAAGAGTCACTCAGGGTTCAGTGTAGCAATAATGAAACTCACAACCTTCTTCTAGTTCTTAAACACTTCCTCCCCTAAACTATCATGATCCCAATTCTACCTTGCAAACCTGGTTAGACCAAAGGATGCACAGCGGTACAGATGGGAACTGGAAACACAGGGAATCCAGGGCAGATGAACCCCTCAGGACCAGTGGTGAGAGTGGCAATACTGGGAGGGAAGGGGGGCCAGAAAGGGGAAATCAAGCACAAGGATGTCATATAACCTCCTCCCTGGGGGATGGGCAACAGAAAAGTGGGTGAAGGGAGACGCCGGGAAGTGTAACATAAGATAAAATAATAATTTATAAATTATCAAGGGTTCATGAGGGAGGGGGCAGTGAAGAGGGTGGGGTAGGGGAAAAGGAAAATGAGCTGATTCCAGGAACCCAAGCGGAAAGCGAGTTTTGAGAGTAATGAGGGCAACGAATGTATAAGTGCTTTACACAGTTGATGTATGTGTGGATTGTGATGAGTTGTATGAGCCCCAATAAAATGATTTTTTTTAAAGTTGTTCTATCCAAATATTAACTATGTAAACAATAAGCCACAGCTCATTCTCTGCAGCGAACACTGTTCCACTGTGATCGTTATGAGGTGGCTGCTGAAGCTTTTTTACATGTCATTGTAAAATGGTTTGAAATGTGTCTAATTAAAACTTGTGGAATCTTACAAACTTTTGGTGTGATCAAGCAAATTTTAAAGTTTATTTGTACTATACAATTAATCTTAAAGAATATTTTTATTAAAGTAATTGTTTTAATTAGGAGGTTTAGAAAAATATGAGTTAAATTTGTCTTCAAAGAAATATTTGACTTCAGATAATTAAGTAACTGGAAGAAAATGTCTTTTTTATTATTATATTACTATATTACAAATTTTCCTTCTAAAGTATAATTCTTTATTTTAATTTTTAATTTCCTTAAATATAGGATAGTGAAGTATTTATTAATGACAAAAAGACTGATAATTCAGAAGTTTTCTGGAATCCAACACCTGACATTAAACAATGGAGATTAATAAGACACACTGTAAAATATGAAGAACAAGGAGATTTTGAGTCAGAAAAGTAAGTATCCCATTTTTGTTTTTGTTTTTCAGGTAACTGCCTGAAGACCAAAGAGTATTTTTAAATTCCTTAATATTGTGGTACTTTCCTTTGTCTTAGTTATATTTGAATCCAGCAAAACACTATTACTTGTGGGATGCAACAAGATTTCATTTTGATGTGCATGAATATCCAATACAATACAAATCATCTGTCTATTATATAGCTCAGAAGTAAAATTTTCCTATATTGTCTGTCTCTTCTCACGTGGTCCAGGACCTGTTTTGTTTTTTAAAGAACATCTTAATTATTTGCATGAAATTATAGGACTTCTCAGTGACTCTTGGTTTCTACCTGACATCTGTTTTCTAACCTGATCTTTGCATGTAGAATTCTAGGTAAAGGGAACCCTAAACCTCCTTTTTGTTCCATTCTCGGAAGCACAGGAATTGTGCCACTGGGTACACTGGATTCTAAAGGATTTAACATTAGCTGGGTGATAATTAGGGTCAAAATTTCTCTTCCTGCATGTGGGAATCCATAAGAAAGTCAGTGTGCACAAGCAGAGGGAACAGGACCCCCTGTCCCCCATGTGGCTGGGTAAAAGTTTTCTTCTCCCTAGGAGCGTCTAAATAAAATTATCTTACAGTGCAAAAAAGAAACAAATAATTCTTAAGTCATGAAATTCTTGCTAGCTGAAATATTTATAGTTTTGAACTGAAAATATTATATACACATTACCTAGTTTTATCCATACTCTATATTTATTTTTGCTATATTAAAGATGAGGAAAAGAAGGCTCTTTTTGTTATTTTTAAGTTCAGGTTATTTTTAAGTTCATTAGTTCCAAAGTGGCAGATCCAAATTATAATGCAAATCTGTCAATTCTAGAGCTTTTACTTCTTCAATCTGAACATACTGTCTCCCAAGATGAGTAGACATAGATATTAATGTGTGTATATAAGTGTGTTTTAACTGAAGAGAAAATTAAACTTTAGCAAGGGAAGTTATTTTACCTCAGTTGGCTTTTAAGATAAACCAGTGGTCCTCAACACTAGCTGTATACAAGAATCATCTACAAAGCATTAAAAAAAGTCTTATACCAGTATATGAATTCAGATTGTAAAGTTCTCTGATAATTTTTGCATGTGGGGTTGAGAAGCACTGCATTACAAACGAGAGAATATTCATGACGTCAATGGATCTTAAATTTTGGTGCGCCTGAGAATGATACGGGAGTTGGAGCACTTGTTTAAAATATAGGTTCTTCAGCCCTTCCTACATTGAATTTTAGTCATCTTGGCTTAACAGCATTCTCTGCCACATGCTAAGCAGTATCCTGTTCTCTGATCAAGAGCAAAAGAATTCGTTATTGGTTCAAACCCACCAGCTGCTTCACAGAAGGATGAGGCTTTCTGTGCTTGTAAAGATTTATAGCTTCAGAAATTCACAAAGGGCCATTCTCCTTTGTCCTGTAGGATAGCTGTAAGTTAGAATTGACATGATGAGAGCAGGTTTGGTTTGGTTTTTTGGTAGAGCAGGTACCTCTGTATACAAGGCACCAGTTTTGTTTTTGTCTTGACTCCTTTCTGAGTGTAACTTCTGTCAAAAGATGGAAACACATGTGAGCATCATATTCTCCCAAGGGATTCAAGCCTATGTTATAGAAATTTGATTCTCTGTCATTTTTTTATTTTTATTTTGATTGTGGTTAGAATATAACAAACGTGTTTTTTAATACTACTCTTGTACATGTCTTAGGCTCTGGCAACGGGTGACTAGAGCCATAAATGCCAAAGACCAAACTGAAGCTACCCAAGAGAAGTATGTTTTAGAAGAAGCTCAAAGACAATCAGCCAGAGATCGAAAATCAAAAAATGAAGAATGGACTTGCAAATTATTTGAACTTGATCTACTCACAGGAGAATGGCATTACAGGTTTGCAGAGTAAGTAATTTTAAAATATTTTATTATAATAAACTGGTATTGTTTGCAACTTCCATTTCAAGAATTACTGTTAGGAGTTTTGTTTGCTTTTGTTTTTTTTACAGCTGTACATATTAGTGTGAGGTTTAAAATTTGCCCTTTCATTTATGATAAACTTGACTTCTTGATAGTAGTTATCCTATTAAGTAAGCTGAGGATCAATGATGAAATATGGACAGATCTTAACCTTAGAGTTTTGTTTATATTTATTAATGAAAATGTAATGTAAAATAGAAAGTTCTTATGATCTTTTATTTATTTATTTTAAGATCTTTATTAACCATTAAGCTAATGGTATTCATTTTCATTTATGTAGTACTCGACCATGGGACCCACTTAATGATATGATACAATTTGAAAAAGATGGTGTTGTCCAGACCAAAGTGAAACATCGCACTCCAATGGTATGTAGTAAAAAAAGAAATTCTTAGGTCCATTAGGCATATAAAATTTTTAAATCCTTGAATCTTTGGCAACAAACAATTAAAATATAATTCTTGAACAATTCTAAAATAATATAAACATGCAAGTCATCTGTATTTAGGAAGAGTTTTCCATTCACAGTAAAATCGTAGTATATCCCTAGTTATATTGTTGGCTTTGAGCCTACGCTACAGAGGAATATATATATACTTAAGAATGGGGATTTGTATTATAAATCTTAGCTCTCCTCAACTAAATATTATCACTGCAACTTTTCTGCCATCGAGTCAATGCCAACTCATAACAACCCTGTAGTACAGGATGGATAGAACTGCTGCTACGGATTTCCAAGACTGTTAACTCTTTACAGGAGTAATAAGCCTCACCTTTGTACCTAGGCGTGGCTGGTGACTTTTAACTGCTTCCCTTGCAGTTAGCAGCTTAACTCATCACTCACTATGACTCCAGGGCTCCTAAATAATACTTGTAGGGTGTTTTTTCTTGGTCCTAATATATCTGTTTGTTTCCATGAAGAATGAAGTGTATAGGAAAGAAAATGAAAATATTTAAATTCATTTTCTAAACTTAGAGATGAGAATTATTTCTAATAATCCTATTTATTAGATCAATTCACTCATTAATTTTGATAATTAATTCAATAGACTCTTTTTCATTATTGTGTTACAGGGATTTTTTAGTAGTAGGTCTGACCTAAGATTCTGTTTGAGATGCTAAACCTATGGGTAAGAAATCCTCATTAGCACTATTACCCAATTTATACTATGGAATGTAGTAATAGTAGCAATGATGATGAGCACAATTATATAGTGAATACAGAGAAATGTTCTAAATGCTTTATATATAATGTATATATTAATTCTTTTCATCTTCTCGCTAGCCATATGAAAATCATTACTATTATGTACATTTGCAAATGTAGGAACCAAAGGCTTGACTTGTTAAATAACTTCCCAAGATCAAAGTCCAAGTATTCAGACTACAGAGTAGCAGTCTTAACCACTGTAACATACTATGCTACCACTACAATAATTCTAATTATACCTAATTCTGTGTCACAGTGTACTCAATAGCTGAACCCTGGCTGTGAGATGGGTTCATTTTCTTTCCTTCATTAGTTTGGCATAAAACATTCTCACCTAAAAAGTCTCCAAAAATATAATGGGAAGACATAGCTTTATGCCTGGTATAGTCCACTCAAAGAATTGACTGTAGAGATAAATCTACTTTTATGTCACTTAATAAAGACAGATCACAAGGGTGGGGTGGAAAGGGGGAACCGATTACAAGGATCTACATATAACCTCCTCCCTGGGGGATAGACCACAGAACAGTGAGTGAAGGGCGACGTTGGACAGTGTAAGATATGACAAAATAATAATTTATGAATTATCAAGGGTTCATGAGGGGGGGAATGGGGAGGGAGGGAGAAAAATGAGTTGATGCCAGGGGCTTACGTGGAGAGCAAATATTTTGAGAATGATGAGGGTAATGAATGTACAAATGCGCTTTATATAATTGTTGTATGTATGGATTGTGATGAGTTGTATGAGCCCCCAATAAAAGGATTTTTTTAAAAAAAGACCATGACACCATTTCCCAGTTTTATAAATACATGTACCTCCCTATTCTGATTCTAGTTTCTCTGCTTTCGTTTATGTTTTCAAATTTAAAACTGATTGCCAGAATTGCAAACCTATTAGGATAGAATCTAAAGTCTAAGCAGAATTTGGAGTTTATGGTTTGGCATACTTTTGAGCCTTACACATGCATTTAAAATTTTTCAATAATTTTAAATAATGCTTTTATAAATCATATATTTTCTTATTAAATATTTTCTACATTAACCATATATTAAAAGTAAGTCGATAATTTGGAAACAAACCCAAAGTTGGGAACAAGAGGATGATTAGAATATATTATTATTTAATATTTTACAAAAGATAACAATAGTGCAATTAGAAAAGTGAAGGGGGTATATATTTTATTTTGCCACATTGATGATTTCTATTTAAAATAAATAAAATTATTTGATTATCTAAGTTTGTTGCATCATCTCTATTAAGTTTAAACTAGAATATTTCTGAATATAGTGCCCAGCAACAAATAACTTTGACAACATTGAGCTCTAATTATAAAATAGAGTGCAAGCTCACGTAATGTCTATATTTTTTCCAGGTTAGTGTCCCAAAAATGAAACATAAGCCACCCAGGCAACAGAAGAAAGTGGTGAAAGGCTATTCGTCTCCAGAACCTGATATCCAAGATTCATCTGGAAGTGAAGGTAAAGATATTGCATGCTGCTCATTATAACAGTCTGCTTTTTAGAAATATGGTCTTTTATTTATGAAAATTGCCTTTCATAATAACTCAAGAACAGATATGTTTTTGTAGCGGGAGGGTTATATGCAAAAGCTGTTTCAGATGATCACATTTTGAGACCAGACCACAAGGGACAAAAATGAGAAACATAAGTAAAAAACTACACTTTATTAGTAGTTCTTTCTCCTTGCTAGCTCTGAAATATCGTTAATGGTTCCTTTGATTCAGTTCACAAATAGTTTTTTATTTTTGAGCTCATCCCATGCTTCAGAAAAGTTGATTCCCAGGATTAAGTGCAGTAGTGTTTAGAAATCACATAAAGTAAGACATTATAGAATACTAGATTAAATTATGGGCCATTCTTGTCAGTTAATATGTAAACTGGCTTGATACATAGTCAAGAAAAATTTAAGAATAATGTCTTAGACGTTGTGAAAAAGTGAAAGAAAAAAAAACAAAAACCTTTGAGTCATAGTCCCCACTAAGATTACACTAAGTAGAAGAACTCCATTTTTGTGTGCACAGGTAACACTGCTATTGTTACATACTCTCAAATTGGTTCTGGTTCATTCTACCTGAAGTGGAACAGAACAAAATACTGCCCAGCCCTGGCCCATCCTCACAGCCATCGATAGGCTTGAGCCCATTATTGCCGCCACTGTGCCAGTTCATCTTTTTGAGGATCTTCACCTTTTTCACTGACCTTCTAAGATTCCAAACATGATGTCCTCTACAGAGACTAGTTCCTCCTGATAACATGTCCAAGTATGTATGAGACAGAATGCCGTCATCTTCACCTGTCAGCAGAATTCTAACTGTACTTCTTCTGAGATGTACGAATATACTTGTGTATATAAGCTGAGTTTTTCAGCACATTTTAATGCAATTTTTGTGGTGAAATTAGGTGCCTTGGCATATATTCAGGCCAGCTTGTACTCGAGTACATATGGTACTTCTTCTGACCATCCTTGCTATTTTCAGTATTCTTTGCCAGTACCACCATGGCTTGGGTCAGGGGTACCTTGACCTCAAAATGACTGTGTTTATTTTGTTTAACATTTTAAAGCAGTCTTATAGGAGAGCTGGCCATGCAGTTCATCATTTGAATTCTTGAGGGCTTGCTTTCATGGGATTTGTGTTTCCACATAAAATGAAATCCTAGCATCAGTCTTTTCTCCATGTGTTGTGATGTTGCTTATTGACGCCGTTGTGAGGATTTCTCTTTACTCATTGTTGAAGGCTAATATGTCTTGAAGGCTGTAGATATTTTTAAGTCTTTGTCAGTAAATGCTTTAAGTTAGCTATACTTCAGCATGCAAGGTATGTCCTCTCCATATCAAAAATTGTTAATCCTGATGCTGTCTTCATTAATCCATTTTCTCAGATTTGCTCAGCACACATTGAATAAATATGGTGAAAGGATATGCAAGCCTTTCCTGATTTTAAACCACCCCCTTGAACTTTTTACTTTTTTCTTTTAATAAATCACTTTATTGGGGGCTCTTAGAGCTCATATCCATACGTCCATTGTATCAAGCACATTTGTGCATATGTTGCCTTCTTCCTTTTCAAAATATTTTCTTTCTACTTGAGCCCTTGGTATCAGCTCCTCTTTTTTTTTCCCCCTACCTCCCCACCCTCATGAACCCTTGGTAAATTATAAATTATTATTATTTTCATATCTTACACCATCTGCTGTCTTTTTTCACCCATGTTTCTATTTTCCGTCACCCTGGTCTGGGGGAGGTGGGTATATGTCTATCATTGCGATCAACTCCCCCGTTCTCCCCACCCTTCCCCCTACTCTCTTGGTGTTGCTACTCCCATTACTCTTCCAGGATTCCGTGTGTCAAGAGCTCTTAACTGTACCACTGTACATACCCTGGTCTAGCCGGATTTATAAAGTAGAACTAGCATCATTGATAGTGGGTGGGGGGTGGGAGGAAGACATTCAAGAACTAGAGGAATGTAGTATGTTTCATTGGTGCTATACTGCGCCCTGGCTGGTTCTTCCCTACCTTATGACCCTTCTGTGAGGGGATGTCCAATTGTTTTCCTATGGGCTTTGGGTCTCCACTCCCCCTTGAACTTTGTAAATGACTGCCTCTTGGTCTGAGTATAGAAGCACAAATAATTGTTCTGGAATTTCTATTCTTGTCAATGTTATCAATAATTTGTTATTTCAGCCAAGATCCATATGACATCAGTAATAACATCCCTCATTTCACATCCTTTTCTGTAACCAGCTTTAATTTCTGGCAATTCCTTGTGGATAAGCTGTTGCAATCGTTTTTTAATTATCTTCAGCAAAATTTTACTTGTGATATTAATGATAATATTCTATACTTTCCACATTGTGTCTTATTTCTTTGAAATGGCACATAAATGGATTTCTTCCTGTCAATTGGTCAGGTCAGGCCTTTCAAATTTGGGGGCATAGAAGAATGAGTACTTCCAGTGCTAAATAACTTGTTGAAACATTTCAATTCCTAGAGCTTTACTCTTTGCTGAAACCTTCATTGCAGCTTGTACTTCCTTCAGTACCATCAGTTCTTGTTGTATGCTAGCTACCTCTTGGAATGTTGACCATCACCCAATTATTTTTGGTACAGTGACTCTGTATATTCCTTCTTTCTTTGATACCTCATGCCTTGCTGAATATTTTGCCCATAGAATCCTTCAGTATTGCAACTTGAGGTTAGAGAAATGACAAATATGTTCTTCCTTATTGAGTTTCCAGCACCAAACCCTTGAATATCTCATTGTGATACTTCGTCTTCTTGAGCCACCCTTTCAGATCTTCTCTTCTTTTTCCCTTTATCTAGTCTTTGTTCAAGAACAAGTTTCAGAGTCTCTTCGAACAGCCATTTTGATCTTTTTCCTTTCTTACCTTTTTTTAAAAAGTATTTTATTGGGGGCTCGTTCAACTCTTATCACAATTCATATATACATCTATGTTTCAAGCACATTTTTACATTTGTTGCCATCATCATTTTCAAAACATTTTCTTTCTACTTGAGCCCTTGGTAAAGGCTCCTCATTTTTTTCCCTTCCTCCCTCATGAACCCTTGATAATTTATAAATAATAATTATTTTTCTTTCTTGCATTTTTAATGACCTTTCTTTCTTCATATATAATATCCTTGATGTCATCCCAAAACTCATCTGGTCTTTGATCAGTAATCTTTAATGCATAATATCTATTTCTGAAATGGTCTTTAAATTTACATAGAATATACTCAACATCACATTTTAACCCTCATGGATGTGTTTGAATTCTCTTCAGCTTCGACTTGAACTTGTATATGAGAAATTGATGATCTGTTCTGCTGTCACTCTATGGCCTTGTTCTACCTAATAATGTTGAACTTTCCCATTGTTCTCTTTCCACAGATGTGGAGACTCGATTTATTTCCTTTGTATTCCATCTGGTGAGGTCATGTGTATAGTCATCATTTATGTTTTTGAAAAAAGATATTTGCAATAAAATAAGTCATTTGCCTCGTGTAATTCTATCCTGTGATCACCATCAAAGCCCTGTTTTCCAGCTGTCAATTTATTCTGTTTTCATCTTTCCCATTCCAGTCACTAGGAGTTATCAGTGCATCTTGATGGTGTGTTTGGTCAGTTTCAGGCTGCAGAAGTTTGTTGTTGGTGACTGTTTGAATAATAGTTACATTAACTGGTCTTTCTTGTAGGCATTTGAAAGTTGTTCTATTACTGCCAGTGTTGTATTTCAGGATGGAGCTTGAAATGTTATTTTTAATGATGTATGTGACACCATGCTTCTTTTACCATTAGTTACCATCAATTTGTCATTTCTGGCATAATAGACCCTATGACTGACTGTCAAATTCAAAATGGCTAATACCAGTACATTTCGGATCACTAATACCTAGAATATCCATCCCTATACATTCCATTTCATTTTTGACAGCTGGCATTTTTCTGGATCCATACTTTGTGCATTCCGTATTCTGATTATTAATGGATGTTTTGAGAATGTCACATGAGTAATAGAAGGTCCTAAGAACTTCATCCGTGTCATTAAGGTTGACTCTTATTCGGGAGGCAGCTCTTCCCCAGAGTCGTATTTTAAATGCATCCCAACCTGCAGGGCTCATGTTCCAGCACCATATTAGGCAGTGTTTCTTGGCTATTCACAAACCTTTCACTGGCCATATTTTAGAGAAATAGTTCATCAAAGCCCATCTTCTTAATCTGTCTCAGTCTGGACATTTCACTGAAACTTGTCCACCACAACAGAAGCTAATAGATGTTAGCAAGTAATAGTAGAGGTAATTAATCGTAATGCCAGGTAACTCACAAATCAAAAAATAATAAAGGATAGAGAGCTTAATTTAGTTTAAAGTGGTCAGAGTGCTTCTTAGGGGAACTTGATACATTACTAGGGTTTCTCATAGATTACAGCATTCTGCCATTGGTAGGGACTGGGCTTCTAAATTCACACGCTTGCCTATTTGTTATATGACCTACATTTGTTCCAGCTAAAGGGTTTTGTGCCACATTGTATGTTAAAAAACATTTTACAAGAAATGTGTGTATTATTTTTCTTATTCTATGAGAAAACAGGCATGGAGTTAGCTTAAATAAAATTTTAACAGAAATAGAAGAAATAAATGCAAGGATGGATTTGAAAAACTCAGAACATCTTTCATATTGGTAATAAGAATTTGTAGAGACGTATCAAAATTGGTTCTAAATTTTGGAGATTAGATGACAGGCATAGATACAATATTACAGTAAAAAACTGAGAAGGTGGTTTAAAAGTTGACTTCTTCAGATAGGCAAACAAGCAAGGAGCCATTTTTTACCTTGTCAAATACGTATTTTTAATGAATTATATTTTCCTATTTAATTAGTAAAACAATAAAATTGATGCTATCTAAAATTTAAACTGTAGCTGTAAATATATTTGTGGTATTGTTTTAAAATGATATATATGAAACTTTAAAAATTCAGAATATTTGAATCATTGTGTTAATCTCTAATTTATGAAAATAGTACCCATGAAACTTTTTATAAGACAGGACCCATTGTTATGTAAATTATGTTTTCAAATTCTATTCATTGTTTTCATCAACTTCGTTCTAAATATCTCCTTTAGCTCAATCATTGAAACCAAGTGCAAGAAGAAAGAAAGGGACAGACCTGGGAGACATTCAGAGCTCCATCGAATCTATAAAACAAGCACAGGAAGAAATTAAAAGGTACTATATATTAACAGTGGTAGTGTAGTAGTTAAGAACTCTGTTTGCAACTTGAAGTACTTTATACCATTACTAAGCTAAAATTGAACCATAGCTTCTGTTACTAAATCACAAATTTCCTCTAACTAGCCTTATTTCAAGAGCCTTATTAAAAATTTAAAAAATTTTAAAAACCACTTTGATTTCTTGGGTTGGGATGTCTCTGGAGGTTGAATTGGATTCTCTTATTACTGTAGCGTGCTAAGAATGTAGCTAGCTGGATTGGGTGTGAGTGTAGGGTTGTTTTTGAGGAAATCTGTTAACAAAGTCCCCTTTGTACATAACTAAAGCATAAGTAGTTGAAATGTTGAAGTAGCTCTCTTAACAGTGGGCAAACTGCCACCCAGTACGTGCAGTCCGTACACATCTCTCCTCTGTGAGCCAGCAGTATTCACACTTGAGGCGTCTCCTTAAGGAAGACTTTTTTATCAGTTGTTTTGTCTGTTCTCTGTTTTTTAATCTTATCCCATCTGCTTTTTCATAGTTAGCATTCAAGGCTTGATGTTCAGAGAGATCTTTTCTAAATTTTTTCCCCTCCCTTCCTGGAGACCTTGTGACATTCATTTCCTGTAATTTTCTTATCTTCTGCCATCCCTCTGCATCTCCCCACCCCCACCCCGCTCAATGCCGCAGTCCTAGGAAAGGCCTTACTCCGCCCAGAACATAATGTACTGTCTCATAGCTCCAGAGTTTTGCCCATAATGATTCTGCTTCCTGGAATGTCCTTCCTCCCACCGAGAGAAGCCCTGTAACATTTCCGATCACTCATCCATCGTGGTAGAGTTAGTTAACCCTTCAGTCTGCTTTACGTGGCTCCAAGTAAACACTCCTGTGAGTACTTTCTGCACTACAGAGTTGTTAGTGTATGTGTCCTTTCTGCCCCGTTGTCAAAGAGTCATATACTATACAAGCCTTGGAGGACCATTCCTGGGTTTAAAAATTGACAGGAAGCATTTTTAGGCTTTAATTGTATTCACTTACATTTCAAAGAGGCAAAGAAAGTATTTGTCATTACAAATTTTCTAAAAGCCTCTGAAAATAGGGAGCAGAGAAAAAGACGTTTGCTCCATTTCTTCCTTGGAAGGGAAAACCGACCTCTCTCATTCTCCCTCTCCCTTCCCCCCTCCCTCTCTTACTTTTAGTTTGTGTTTGCCTTCTAGCATGTTCATGGATGACCGATTGTGGAGTTACAAGTAAATGTTAGCTTAGATGAATTTGCAAACAAGATCTGCAGATAATGAGAAATTATTTATTTTAAATTAATGAGCCTACTTGTCTGTTGCATTTCCCTCCTTTTATCTTTGCACTGGAAGCCTGAAAAAAATGGAGGCTGTAATGGAAGCCTCACCTATCAGCTTCCACTAGCCAAAAGCATTTTTGGTGGCATGAAGAAGGCAATAAGCTCATTTCATAACTAAAGTGCCATTTTACTTCTTCTAGCATGTGAACTATCTATAGAACATTCTTCAAGTTAGGGATGTCATAAATCTAGTGTTACTTCCTACTGGAAAATCTAGGATTTTTCTCCATCTCTCGGCCCCAATTTGTTTAAAGTAAGTATAATCTTAGTAGGTCAACCAAGAAGCAACATTTTTGTTGTGTTTTAAAACCATTTTTGTAAGAAAAAAGGTGATATGTTTCATCATCATCATTTACTTGTTTGATGCATATTATTAAGCAATATGTTTAATATAGGATGAATACTTATTTACACAAGATCTAATATTAGCTTTGTACAAGGTAACCTGCTAGCTCTCTGTTTAGGCTTTAGTAATTGATTGACCAAGTTAAGGTAATTAAGTGTTTTGAGACTATTAAATTGTATACTATTAAGTTATGAATTCCATGCTAACATTTTTTATGAATCATAACATTTATTATTGCTTATTTTTATAGAAATATTATGACTCTTCGAAATCATTTAGTTTCGAGCATACCTACCACGGATTACTTTCTGCAACAGAAAGACTACTTCATCATTTTCCTCCTGATTTTGCTTCAAGTCATAATAAACTTCATGTTTAAGTAAAAAGATACATTTGAATTGATGAACTGGAATGCTCTGAGTTGGCCTGGGACCAATGTTCAAGTTGGTTTGGTCTTTATTAAAACATCACAATATTTCTGAAACAAAAAACCTTAGAGGTAAATATAGAAATGTTGACGTTTCATGCCTTTTATTCTTAACCTGAAGCAAGAGCTGTCTTACTTGTTTATTAAAGTGAACTATGTGTTAAGTGCCAGAACATTTCTAGCTTTTGTCAGTGTGTCTACATGTGAATGTAATAAATCCACATGTATGCACAGTTGTCTCTTATGTACTCTCACCTGGCAGTACTCTTTGTATTCTATAGTACATTCTGAGATAGATCATTAACATTGTTCATAACAAAGATACTATCACTCTTATAAATGTATGTATGGTAATGTATTTTCTTCAGAAAGCAGGCACAAACCTTTGATCAATAAAGAATTACAGAATGGGCAATGATGGAGTAATATACCTAACTAATGCAATACACTGTACTGTTTTTAAAAAAAACAAAAAACTCATTTTCGAAACACCGAGTTAAACTGTCTAGCAACTCTGAGAACAAAATGTGACTGGTCAAAATTGGCGTACTGAGAAAGACGTGTTTGATAAAGTTTACACAGATTTTTTTTTAATCTCCAAAATGTATTATTGATAGACACAAGCATATATAGTTGTATGTGTATATCAATGTAAACAACTGGAATGCATCTAGTTGGATCAATTATGTCTTTCTTATCATATGTATATAATAACACCTTAAACACTTGCTTAAGTGGGAATGGTCAATGTAGACTGCTGTTCCTTCTTAGTTTTTTTTTTTTTTTTTAAGCTATCTGGTCAATAACACAGACCAAATTCTAGAATAAAGCATATAAAATACTGCTAGCTCATGCTTTCTCATTATGAACTGCTTAGATTTCATGTAGATCTTAGTGTATCAGTAGATAAGTAAGAGTACAAAAAATTATTTTAAAATATTTTACTTCAAAAGCCAAAAAAAGTAAGAACATCTAAAGAAAATGCCATGTTCTGAAGTTGAATTCCCCCTCTATTCGTAGTACTTTTATTCTGTGGAAAAAAACACCATTCTTATTGATTACAAAATTTTGTTCAGCCTTAGGTACACTTTTTTCTAAAACTTTTTTTTTCAAATTAATATTTTAACTTTGTTTTTTTTTTTACATAATTTTTTATAATCTTCAAAATCAAGTTTTGCAAATATAAACTATGTCTTATAATCCTTATAGATTTTGAAGTGGTTTTTAATGAAAATGAAGGTCAAATAGAGAGTAATTGCTGTGGCCACATTTGCCTTTGACAAAGAAGAGACTGAAAACCCAGTAAACTTGCAAGCAATTGGTCATGCCATAATCCATGTGAAATGGAGTGATGATTGCTAAATTGTGAAAATTGAAAGTGATAGCCTACATTTTTCCCTATCCAGTATAGCAGTCTTAAGTATACAATTTATGTGACTTAGTTTTTTATGAAGCACTATTTCCCATATATTGTTAGCAAAACAATTCTGTCGTCCAGATGTATATATGAAAGTATTTTTAAGTTGAGTAAAGCATAAATAAGATGTAGCCTATATCCAGTATTTTCATTACTACACTAGAGTGGGTATTTTGTTTTTGTTTCATGTCATATTTTTGTCTATACAATTTTTTTACTCCTATTGTTACCAGCATAATGCTAAACTGCATATTCATTGAGATATTTTGTAAATATTGTACAATTAGAACTTTTTATGGTTTGAATTACTATTAATTTATATATAACTTGATTGGCTTATCACAAGAATTATTTCATCATTAAATCCTTAAAATAAATATGTATATCTATTTTGGTGGTGGTGGTGACCCACCTCAGGGTTTTGGTCTTAACCCATGTGTGTGTTTTCATTTGATCCACATAGCGTTTTGTTTGTACAGACATCTAACACAGAAGAGCTGGTTGTTTCATTATTTTTCTTTGGGTAGATGTTATGGTTCTTACTTACATGTCAAGAGTATTTCATTAAAATGAGCAAGGTTACTGTTAAATATTCAATTGTGTAGCCTACCCTATCCCTATCTATCTCTTTATCTCTCTCTCTCTCTCTCTCTCACACACACACACACACACACACACACACACAGACATCCCACCCCCCAAATGTAGCTATAATCCCATTTGGGATTTTGTCTCTTTTATGTTAGTGAGGTAGGATTTGTGTAGGGTATATCTTGATTAAAGCTCTTCTGACTATAAAAGAGATTAATGAGTAGAGCAGTGATGGAGGGGATGAGATACCAAACCACATGACGATTGCCCAGGAGCAGAAGGCCCAAAGAGATAAGCACCTTCCTGCAGAACCAAGAGAAAGACATCTTCTAAAACCAGCACCCTGAATTTGGACTCCGAGCCTCTTAAGCTGTGAGCAAATTAATTTCTTTGTTAAAGCCACCCCCTTGTAGTATTTGTTACTGCAGTACGAGATAACTAAGACAACTCATTATTCATGACTGTTTCTTATACACTGAAAGCACATGTCCAATCTGATGGTCCTCCTATGCGTTTAGCTGTATGAGTTCCTTTTTATGAACTGGAACACAAAACTCAGGAATTGATGGTTTAGTTCCAGATCAGTGCTTATACTAGGCTTAAGGTTTGAATCCTTTAAAATGCATAATTAACTTTGTACTTAACCATAATATGTAATTGACTTCAAATGTTTTTTTTTATCTGAGATTAATCTTTCTTCACACATGGATTCATAAAGATTGTAATTTACTTCTGAGCACCTCATGATGTTTTCTAAGAATTAAGACGTATAACCAGTGTTTCTCATATGATCAAAATTTTTATTTTCCCACACTAAAACTTATATAATTATCAGTATGTATGTTTCTTTCAGTGGTTAAATGTACTATGCCTTCAATTACCCACTATTTAATGAGATGTAACTCTAGATGCTAATAAATAGGGCATGTGAAATGTTAAGTTTCAGCAATATACTTTTCCTGTATTTCATGTCAATATTTTTGTATGACTTATAAAGGATCTTTGTCACAGCTCAATTGGCTATTCATTCCATTGAAAAGTTGCTTTTGTAAAATATAACCTTCGTGTAGGATTGACGCTTTTGTGCCTTTACGAAAATCTTTGTCCTTTTTGTGTTACAGAACTTTAATAATAATTCAAAATGTTTATAGGCTTAATTGTCATAAGAGGTTCATCTCTTTGTGTCACTTTCTTTTTATATTAGCACACAGTAATGCTGTACTTTTATAAGGGTTTGTCTGTTTACCTATTTCAATTATTCTCTCCACTCTCAGACATCATTGTAATAGACCTGTCAGATTACCTGAGTATTGTAAACAGTGCCTTTTCAATTGAATTCACACTGTTCTGCGTGTCAATTTGTGCCATATCCACAAAATTTTACTGGAGACAGTCTTAACTTTTTGAAGAGTATCTTAGGTATTTAGAAAACCTGTTTAAAAATCCTATTTTTCCAGTGTTTTGCATTTCTAGTGAGTTAGCAAGGAATACATTTGGGTTTGTTTTGGGGTGGTTTTTTTTGCATATAGTGATGACAGCATTTTTTGATGAGCCACATGATACAGCAGATCATTTGAATATGTAAACCAACAAAAATGAGATACCATATTATTGACGCTGTTTTTTTATTTTTTAATCATTGGGTTAAATTCCACAGAAATCAGTAACTTTACATTTCAATTTCTGTCACAGTTGACTAAATAGGAAAGAGATTCTTTAAAAATGTATAACCTGCCATGGTAGTTATACATTTGCTTTCATTTTTTTCCCCTACTTATAATGTGGATTAACCTAATTACCTGTTTAGTGCTAATGTACTGTTTGTTTTTTATTACAGTCTTTAATTGAGATGAACTATTTAAACTGTATAGACCAGTGTCTTATTAAATGATTAACATATTTAAAAGAGCCTCAAGAAACCCATGACAAAATGAATGTGAATATACGCCCTAAATTTTTTTTACGTCCTAAAATATTTTAATGCATTTATCAGATAAAATTATTTACTAAAGGTTTTCATTTAAAGAAAAATGTCATGGAACATTTAAACTGCTGAGCCACAGAATTTTAGTTGAATTTCCTTTATTTTTTAGCATGCCAAGTGTATAAAGTCACTGCTATTGAGTTGACTCTGACTCAGAGTGAACCTGTAGGAAAGTAGAATGGCTTCGTGGGTTTCTGAGACAATAAAACATTATAAGAGCAGTCTCATCTTTCACCCACAGTGGGGCTGGTGGGTTTGAATCACCAAACTTAAGGCAGCAGCCCAGCACTTAATCCACTCTGCTACTAGAGCTAACTGTAGATCTGCATTAAACCTTGCGTTTAGTGGCCATTTATAAAGTCAAGCTCTACCACTGGTCAAGTTTTGCATGCTAATAAAAGTATGGTATCTCTAGTGTCAATATGGCACACTGTCATTCTTTAAGGTGCATAGCAACTGTCCAATAGCCATAGGTTACTGTTTTATAATGTATTCCATTTCTAATCTATTATTCCTTATCAATTATAAATGTTTGCAGAGAGAAAATTGAATTTCTTAAATGATCTGTATAATTATGCTGACTTCTACAAGTAGGCATTCTAAATAAAATTTTAAAGAGCAAACTGTGATCCAAGACCATTGACTATAACATAGTGACTAATTGTCTGGTATTAATTGTATTCTTTTTTCAGTTAGGTGGGAGTTGCTGCTGATAAGAATAGTGAGGGGCTTGGATTTTACAGGATCCCTACTACATGCTTTCTTGGTGCTTTACATTCACTCTTCTTGAATCCACTTAGCTGGATTTAATACTCTTGTGGGGTGCTGTGTCATCAGTTTCCACTATTAGAGAGCCCATGTGACAGAGAACTGTTTGGTTGGGTGTTCTTACATATAATCTTTAGGAAAGCAAATTGCTACTAAATTAAATGAGATTAAAAGTCACACAGTATTGTGTTAGTCTGGGTACTTTAGAGAAACAAATCCACAGAAACCCATATGTAGAAGAGTTTTATATAAAGGGGAAGTGCCCATCAAGAAAACATCCCAATCCAGTGCTGCCCAAGCCCACAAGTCCAACATTAGCCCGTATGTCTGACACTAATCCACAAAGTCCTCCTCCAACTCACAAAGCACATGCAAAGACACCGACTGCAGGAAGAAAGCTAAATCAGTGAACACGTAAGCATCTCAGGCTGGCAGGGGTCTCCACAGGGCTGCCTCTGATCCACAGGGCTGCATCAGGGTAAGTCCATGTAGCTTCTCCTCAAGGATGTCTTGCAGGAAGTGAGCCTTGCCAGCTAAAGCAGGGAACTGGCTAAGGCATCTGCACCCTGGTCTGACCATCAGAAAGAGACCGAGAACTTGAAAGGCGAGGCTCACAGAGCCAATTATCTCTTAACCCCACGTGGTGTTTATCAGCCAGGTTGGGACAATAAACATTATCTCAGTGATATTAAGCACAAGTTTGAACTTATCTTTCATGTCCAATTCAAATACCCATGCATTTTCCCCTATTAAAAAATCTCTGATCTTACTTAACATTTTGCTTTTAAATATTAGGAATAAGCCACTGCTCAGATGTATGTACCATTTCGTAATGAGTTCCAGAAAACCAGTTGCCAATTAGTTGACTACTCATGACTACTCCCTGTGCGTAGAACTCTGTCCCATAGGATTTTTTCCCCCTCTTTTGTTCCACAGGATTTTCACTGGCTGATTTTTCAGAAGGAGATCACTGGGCCTTTCTTCAAAGATGTCTCGGGGTGGACTTGAGCTTCCAACCCTTTAGTTAGCACCTAAGCATGCCAGTCATTTGTATCCCCCCAAATCAAGCCTTACTGAATCCACTTAGATAAGTTTCAGGAAGTTACTGCTCTCCTATTTTCCCTCCCTGTTCTACTGCACCCTGCCCGTGTCCATTCTTGCACCGCCCCCCCCTCATAGTTCAGTTGATTCTGCCTGGTAGTTGGTCCCATCGTATTAATGGGGGTGGAGTAGGGAGGAAGTTGCCTATTTTATGCATTGGACTAAGGCAGCGGTTCTCAACCTGTGGGTCGCGACCCCTTTAGGGATCCAACAACCCTTTCACAGGGGTCGCCTGATTCATCTCAGTAGCAACGAAAATAAGTTTGTGGTTGGGGGGTCACCACAACATGAGGAACTGAACTAAATTAGGGTTGCAGCATTAGGAAGTTTGAGAACCACTGGTTAAGGGGAAAGCAAGTTTGTCTTCAGTGCAACATGGATAAATCATTTTCCTAATATTCATCATGTACCTTATTTCTAATACACGTGCTACTATGCTAATCTAATGTCCACTTTACAAAATGCCCTTTTTCTTGGGCTGGCAAGCCAGGAGAGCAGAGGCTTAGCAGAGGAAATTGGTGGGTTTGCTACCGGCATTTGATTGCTTAGTGCTGAGTAGATACCCTCTGCCATCAAGTCAATGTTGACTCACAGTGACCCTTTGGGACAGACTCGGACTGCTGCTGTGGGTTTCTGACACTAAATCTTTATGGGCGTAGAAAGCCTCCCTCTCTCCCGCTGGGTGACTGGTAGTTTCACACTGACCTTGAGGTTAGCAGCCCAAAGTGAAAGTTGGACATCAAATAAAGACCAAGGGAAAATCTATGCATTTGACATCATGCTGGCCAAAATTATTGAATGTACCAAGGGCTGCTTTGAGGGCAAGTCAGTCTGTCTTGGATTGCGCCAGGCCAGAGTGGCAAGGATGGTGAGACTTCGTCTTACATACTTTGGACATCTTGTCAGGAGAGACCAGTCCCTGCAGAAGGGCAGTGTTTGGGAAAGTACAGGGGCGCAGCGAGTACGAGGAAGGCCCTCAAGGAGATGGATTGACATCGTGGCTACAACAGGAAGCTCACGCACAGGAACAATTGTGAGCACCAGGCAGTGTCCTCTTCTAGTGGGCATAAGGTCGCTGTGTTTAAGAACCGAGTTCACGGCAACTAACAGCATTGATCTCCAGTATCTTCCTCTCCGTCACCACTGCTAGAGAAATACTAAACTGTAGTGACTGACGTCTCATAATACTTGAGCCCCTGGCAGCTGATTCAAAAGCTACGGCTCATAACCAGGCGTTCCTTTCTCTCCTGCATCCTGAAAACGCTTTCGTCCTGGGAGGGTGAACGCGCCATGGTGGAGTCTGCGTGAAGCCGAGGCAGAGATTTGCTACAAAATAAGGAGCAGCTTGGTTGGACAGGAGGAAGCCCACTGCTTCACTTCGGGGGAGCAAAGGCTCGAGCGGGG